TTTGTTATTGGCAATGGATGCAAAGTAGCTTTAGTCTTATCATGGCAATTCCCCAAGTCACAGGGTTTCACATAGACAGTTAACATCTTCTCCATATCCGTAGTAGAAGTTTTGGATGGGTCTCTGGTTTTATTCAATCCCACATGTCAACTTGGGTGGCCATGAGCCAGGTTTAGCAGGTTCAGGTGAAGCTGGATAAATGCTACAAACTGTCCCATATTTCTTTCTCTGCCCACCAGGAGATATTCTCTGAAGAAGAAGCCCATCTTTAACTATTTATCATGACACTGTTCTCCTTTGTGGGATGGTGAGTCAGTCTCCACTAATTCCCAGATTACGGTTAGGCTTGTGTCACATTTCTGTACCTCATAATAGGCATCCAACTCAGAAATATTAACTTGTCTCTCAAGCTGCTTGGTCTCAGAGGAGTTCTAATATGATCTTCATCCATTTTATCTAAACTCAAGAAAAGTTGTCACTGGGACTGCTTCTCTATCAGTGCCATCTTGGTCTTGGGGGCTATTCTTTTCAGTCAATCAACCTTTCAAGCAGTATATTTTTAATTCTGGCTTTGCTGTGCACTCACGCAATTCATACTATACTCTGCATCTCACTTGTCATCTTACATGCCCTCAGGCAACAATAGCTTGACTTCGTTGGTGCTTTCCCTCCTGTTTCTTATTTCTCCTCAGCAGGATTGGCATTCTGTATAACTTTGTACTTTCCCTCCTACATATCTAAACCATATCTGTTGATTGCAATATATGACAGAAAGAAGAAAAGGAAGGAAATAATTTTTAGCTTTAAAAAGGAATGTTTAGTCCAAAGAGACATTCCAAGCGAGAAAATGGAAAACAAAAGAAAACTTCATTTCCCAACAAATGAACGGTTGATTCAAGGAACTGAAGAGTTCACTAAAATTTTGGTGCTAGTTAAAACAAACAGTAATTGTTAGTGATCTGTCTCTCTGTTGGCCACACGTAAAGGAACACGCTACATGTAAGAGCACACCTGCCTGGGAATGTCATGTAATGGAGCCCCAGCTTCCCTAAGGGGTTCTTTACATCTTCTTGCAAATTCTCATATTCTTAGGGAAAACCTGTTTCTTATGCCGCCTCCTTTCACCTCATTCCACAGAAAATCAATCTATGCTTTGCTTATCAGGAGGAAGAAAATGAAAAAGAAAAACCTGTCTTGGCTTCCCTCCATACTTTTCTGTAGCTTGGTGGGGTACCTAGTGAATTGGAATAAGAGTACTGATTTAAGAGGAAGACATAGGTGGATTAAGGCGAAAGGGAGTTGAAGACAATGGGAAAAGTGTGTGTGTTGGGGGGTGGGGAGAGCTGAAAATATAATAATGACCTGCATACTTTAACTCCTTGACAACTCTTCCATGCAGAAATTTATATCCACACACACATTTTGTATAATACAGATAAACGTCAATAGAATTCAGGACCGAAAAGCCAAGCTCAGGCCAACTCATAATGTAAACAAACAGACACAAATTCTCATCACATTCCTTTATTCCCTATTGCTATTTTCTTCAGATTGTTCAAACCATCTCCAGCTTTGTATTATTGTTGTTGTTGTTGTTGTTGTTATTATTATCTTTTATTCATTAAACATGAAACTCAGTCAACTGAACATTCAAAAATGTATCACAAATATTATTGACTGGCGCTGATGGTTGATATGGGTTGCTGCCAGCATCCTATGTTGCATCCAATCCATATATGTTAAGAGCACACAGGTTAGGGAGGCAGTGCTATGACATTATACAGGTAATCCACTCTCAGATGTAATTAAAACAAATGTTCAAGTCAGTAGAACTGCATTGTTAATGGTGAGGATTTGTTCTAATTCCCAGCAGAAGTTGAATGATTGCCTTGATTCTACATATTAAAGTTGTTTATAGCCATTCAAACAACAACAACAACAACAACAACCCACCCTCCTCTTCTGGACTGACAGGAGCTGGAGATTGGCTGATTTAAAACTATGAAGCCGCAGAAAATTAAACTGATGCTTGTGAAACTGACAAACCATTTCAAAATAAATCATGTTAACCAAGGGAATATGATAAAGCCCTTTTTTAAAGCAAAACAGTTTGGAATTGGCCACTACTTATATGCCATGCTATGTTGATGATCTGGTACAGGTAGTCCTCGACTTACAACCACAATTGAGCCCAAAATTTATGTCGCTAAGTGAGAAATTTGTTAAGTGAGTTTTGCCCCATTTTATGACTTTTCTTGCCACAGTTGATCAGTTGAACCGCTGCAGTTGCTAAAATAGTCACACGGTTGTTAAGTGAATCTGGCTTCCCCATTGACTTTGCTTGTCAGAGGGTCACAAAATGATTCCGGGACACTGCAACCGTTATAAATACGAGTCACTTGCCAGGCATCTGAATTTTGATCACATGACCATGGGGATGCTGCAAAAGTCGTAAGTGTGAAAAAGGACCATAAGTCACTTTTTTTAGTGCCATTGTAACTTCAAACGGTCCCTAAATGAACTATTGTAAATTGAAGATTATCTGTATATTCGCTCAATGCATTGACATTGTGCTTTGAATATGGTGGGATAGAATCGGGATATAAATGTATTAAAGAAGCAAATGAAATATAAGAAAACCATGCTGAGCTCTAAGAGAAGGTGTTCAGGTTGATGACTGGTATTTTCCTTCTCTCCGTTAAAAATCACTGATTATATTGTAGGGATATGCAGAAATGTAGTTGACACTTTAATTGGTATTTAATTTACAGTGCCTCAGTCAGTATGTAAAACAGAAAGTCCTTATCTTTCACTGTGGTTTTCTGAACCAAAAATAAAGATGAACATATGAATAATCCAGGGGTAAAATGCTCCCAGTTCGGACCGGATCGCTCGATCCGGTAGTGATGGAGGTGGGTGGTTCGGAGAACCGGTAGCAAAAATCCCCCCCCATGCCCAGCTGAGCCGTGTGATCATCAGAGGCTTTTTTTCTTTTAAATGCCTCTGACGATCAGGCAACTCAGCTGGGATTAAGTTATCTTGGTCCTACAGAAGAGATTCTAAATACAGCAAACGCTGAGAGAAAAGGGCAGCTTGTTTCTCTTCCTGTACAGTCGATCATAAAAAAATAATAATGATGACAGATAGTTCATGAGGCACAGTTAGGGCTACCATAGCTAGGCTGCAAAAATCTGAGATAACCAGTAGATGGCAGCAAAGAAGGCTTTCTTGTATGATACTGATGCCATCTAGGGATCATCTAGATCTGTGATGGCGAACCTATGGCACGCGTGCCACCTGTAGCCAAATCAGTGGGCACGCCAGCTCAGCTCTGGTGCGCATGTGTGCACCAGCCAGCTGATTTTCAGGCCTTCTGGGTCCACCAGAAGTAGGGAAACAGGCTGTTTCCCACTTCCGGAGGGCCTGGAGGTAGGTGGGGAAGGCCCGTTTTTCTTTCTTACCTGACTCCAGATCCTCTCTATGCATCTGCGGAGGGTGAAAAGACTCCTAGAGAGGCTCTGGAGGCCAGGGACAGCAAAAAACATCACTTCCTATCCCACTGGGAGTTGGGAAATGGGCCCTTTCAGGCCTCCTGAGGGCCTCCGAGGGAGTGGGAAAGGCTGTTTTCACCCTTCCCAGATGCATAGAGAGGACCAGGTAAGAAAGAAAAATGGGCCTACCAAGCCATCGCGTGCCAGGAGTGGGAGGGGGGAGGGGGTTGCACGTGCATGTGCAGGGGGCGCACATAGAATTATGGGTGTGGGCACGCGCATGCGATGGCAAAAAGGTTAGCCATACCTAAACTGAATCAGAAGGCTTAATTTCACACTGAACTGTGGGAAGAAGTTTGCAGTATTCATATTCTTAGTGGATTTCTCTGATTTATTTATTTATTTTATTTTATTGAATTTGTATACCGCCCTACTCCTGAAGGACTCAGGGCGATGAACAGCCATAGAATAAAACATATAAATACAAAATTTAAAATAGAATAAAACAAATTAAATAATTTGGCTGAACAAATTTAAAACCCCAATAATTTAAAACCAAATTTAAAATTTCCATTTAAAAAGGGGAATTTTTTTTAAAAAAATCAGGCTTCTGTGGATCTATTAAATGGATCTTTGACTTGATACCACATGATTAAGAAAAAAGGAATTTAAATTCGGAGTGATTTTAGTTAGAACCTGTTTCATATGTTATATAATAGTTCATATAATTATTACGTGAGGGTCAATTTTTAAAGCACTGAAAGCTTGAGGTTAATATAGGGAATGTTATGAAATTCTACTCTAATTTCATCCAGGAAAAGGCGTTTTGAACTCAAAAGCAAAAATGTGCTTCAGAATTTGAGAGGAAGCTTGTATCTGCAGTTAAGGGCATCTATGGGGAAGCAACGACCAGTAGATATTGAGATCAGAGATGGTATTCAGCAGGTTCTGACCAGTTCTGGAGAACTGGTAGCGGAAATTTTGAGTAGTTCGGAGAACCAGTAAATAACACCTCTGACTGGCCCCGCCCCCATCTATTCTCTGCCTCCTGAGTCCCAGCTGATTGGGAGGAAATGATAATTTTGCAGTATCCTTCCCCTGGAGTGGGGAGGGAATGGAGATTTTACAGTATCCTTCCCCTGCCATGCCCACCAAGCCATGCCACGCCCACCAAGCTACGCCCACAGAACTGGTAGTAAAACTTTTTGAATCCCACCACTGATTGAGAAGTCACAAAAGAAACTCCCTCCTTTCATCTTCCCACTGTGGTCTGCATAGACAAAAGTTTGTGTCATAACATATTTTGGCACAGAGCTGCTTGCCTGCAGCTCTTTAAAACCGCTGTGTCTTTCCTGACATATTCCTGACAAAGCAGATTTTTGTGTTTGAATCCAAAATTATCTATATTCCATTTTTTTTAAAAAAATGAATACTTGTGCTCTTCAAAGGCAAAAGATGTAATTGTAGCTGTTGTTTTCCTGTTACTCTGTTCTCTCCATTATTTTGCAGCCTCCCTGGCTATTACTGCTTCCTGATCTGAAAAAACTGCATGGGTGGCATGACAAATCCTACAGAAATCCGTTGGGTTTTAATTGAAGTGAGCAATGTCAGCAAGGCAGCAGGTCATGAAGAGAGTGTTGCACAATCATAGAGAGAAACTCTTGAACACATCGGACCTCTTGTAAATAAGGTAAGTATGTGTGTGCGCGTGTGTATGTGCGGTGAAATTTTATATTGGTTTCTCCTTTTATATTTTGCATGTCTGAACTGCTGAAGTTACATGGTTGTTGGGAATTACAAAAAAACAACAACACACTGATTTCTCTTAAAATCACGGAAATGTTTTAAATTTGAACAAAGATAGCAGTGAGCTGTGGAAGCTTGAAGTAAACAGCTGTTCACCTAAGAATTTGATCCATGGCTTAGGGCCTGGGTACCTACGAGATCACCTTCTGCCACCGACAACCTCCCACCGACCAATACGCTCCCACAGAGAGGGTCTCCTCAGGGTGCCGTCGGTCAAGCAATGTTGACTGGCGACCCCCAGGGGGAGCGCCTTCTCTGTGGGGGCACCCGCCCTCTGGAACGAGCTACCCCCAGGGATACGATTTATCCCGGACCTCCATACTTTCCGCCGGGCTCTGAAGACCTTCTTTCAGCAAGCCAGGCTGGCTTAAAATTTTTAATTGTTTTATGGATAAGGGGTTTTAAATTGGGGAAGCCAAATGGATTTAATTATGTTTTAAATTATTTTAATTTTCATATTGTATGTATTTTAATCCTGGCTGTTCACCGCACTGAGTCCCTCTGGGAGAAAGGCGGTATAAAAATTTAATAAATTCAATTCAATTCAATTCAATTCAATTCAATTCAATTCAATTCTCTACTTACAGACACTTGAAGTTATAACAACAGAGATAAAAGTGACTTATGACCAGTGCTTGCACTTATGACCAGGGTCATGTGATAAAAGTTCAGATACTTGGCAACTGGCATGTATTTATCATGGCTGCTGTATCCTGGGGTCATATGATCTTCGTTTGCGACCTTCCCAGCCAGTTTCCAACAAGCAAAGTCAATGAGGAAATGGATTTGCTTAATGACCGCAGGATTCCCTTAACCGCAGTGATTCCCTCAACAGGTTTGATAATAAAGATTTAAAATCAGGCATGATTCATTTAACAACTGCCTTCTTAGCAATGGAGTTTCCAGTCCCGATTGTGGTTGCAACTCAAAGACTATATGTGAACTGTAAACTTGTGGTTATCTTCTCATACACTGCAATTTAATATGGTTGTAGATGTCCCCTCCCCCTAACAAGGTTTGGTTAGTTAAATCCCTTTTGGATTCCATAAGATATGAATATAACTTATATAATATGCAAGTGCCACTGGCTGAGGCACCATGGGCCGGTCCTTTGCTGTTTCCAAGGTGGCCCCGTGGGCCAGATCTAAATACCACACAGGCTGGATTCGGCCTGCAGGCCTTGAATTTAACACTGCTGAGCTAGAGCAATGAGGCACATTCACTATAAATATTAGGGTTTACTCCCAGTTGAATTTTGATAGTCACCTTTTTATTGTTGCTAACAAATAGAACTTAACAGTGTTTTTAATAAACTAAAGAAAAAATCAAAGAAAAAAGAATATACAAACTTATAAAAGAAAATTAGGAAAAGCGAAAAACAGAAAAAGCACACAAGATATATATTTATAGACGAGCATATATCAATAAATTAATACTATGATTCATTACAGTTAACCATAATTGGAACACAAGAGCTAATAATCCCAAAAGATTTTAAAGGCTACAAATTATTCCTAAATGTGCTGTCCTGAACCTGCATGGTGTGTGTTTTGTTTCATAGACATTGAGTTGCCCTTTGTTTTGTATCTTGAATAAGGAATAGAGGATTTCAGGCTGAATCTGGTGTTTCTTGGCAGATGTTGGACATGAATCATTGATGGGGAAACTAAAGTTTTCTTGCACATCCAATTAAGTGGGAGTGTGTTATATAAGAACACAATAGTAGACTGTTCTTGCTTCAAACTTGGCTTATTTTGACAAGCTATGAAGTTTGGTACATTTCAAACAATCATCAGAAATGCAGTTTAAGTAGTTATTATTTAATCATTTCCTAAATGAAAAAAGATATGTGAAGGAGAATTATCTTTAATGGAGATATATGTATGTACGGGAGATGACAGTGTTTTGATCTTTCTGACTAGTATATGCCCTTTTCTTGCATCTGCATTAATCTAGAGTGCAACCCAAATTTAGCAACTTTATGCACCTGATTACAGTGGGAACACTTAACTTTGACTAGATTATGATTCCCCCCACTTTTTTGCAGGCATAATATTCTCTCTTCCAAAATAATTACCAATTAATACCATCTGAATTTCTTTTATTGTAGTATTTTCTCAGGATGTATTTCAAGCATGTACTACAATTTTTTATTGTAGTATTTTCTCAGGAGGAATTTTCACACACTGCTGTAATATTGCAAAGCCTGGGTAGGAATGGACCCCTGATTTTGCAACTGTTTTGTTTTGTAGTTCCCTAGTCTTTTTTACAGGTATAAAATATTTTCTATCAACTCATATGTACAGCTATCATAACAGGCAATATTTCCAAGGACTGCTTGTATGATTTATTCTCTCATAATCTAAAGCCCTATCCATATTCCAGAAGATTACACAATGTATACACACAGACTCTTTCACACACACACACACACACACCACACAAACCATCTTGCTTCCCTAATCCTGCCCCCCACCCCAAATCACCCAAATTTCCTTAATGGTGCCTCCTGTGTTACACATTTACTGCCTCCCTTCTTTTCTCATGGGTAAAACTTGCTGTTTATTTTGATTTGTCACAAATACTAGGTGTTGTTTGAAAAGTGTTGAACTTAGCAGGCCCATACAGATAATGTGAGATGGGTCACTGGCTGTGATAAAGAGTAAGATATGCTGGGAATTAATCTGAAATGTTACTGAGCTCTCTGAATCTCCTCATTTGCAGCCTATCAGCTAAGGACACTGTAAGTATATGATCCGGTTTGGTATTAAGATGGTGCTTTAAAAATAAACTCATATTCAGAGGCCAAACATTTTTTGATATGTTTTGTACTGAAGTCCAAACCAGGTTAATGATGAAAATCTCTATAAATGTCACTATTATAGAAATTGACATCCACCAACCACAACCACGTATAAAATAATGGCCATACAGTCAGTGGCTGAGGAGACTGAATCTGCTATTTCTTTGGGTGCAGTTATCTCTGCCCTACCTAAAGATAGGTTCCTAGACAGTCCCTGCACCTTTTCCAAGCCAGCAAGATATTTAAACTATTTAAATCATTTTTCCTTCTGTTTAATTGTGTCCAGTTCTCAGAGGGGTCCTAGCTTTGGCAAGATTTAATGGTCTCTGATAGCTGTTCTTGAGGGGAAAATGAGAATTTCCCATCTGAATAAGGAAGAAGTTATTGAAGTTATTAAAACAAGGCATGCTTTGTTACATTGCCCTTAATACAAAGATGCCCAATTATAGCTAATAATTTCCCATCTAGTCAGATTTCCAAGCCATCCAGATTCATTCTGGTTAGAGTAGTTACCCATCAATCATACAGTAGTACCCATCAATGTGATTTTATTTCTCTGAATAAAGTTTTGTTAAGTTTTGTTTTACTCTTTGTAAAATACATTGCACTTTCACCACATCAGTTTCATAAATAGTCAGTTTTTTCCAATTGTTATTTCCTGTCTCATAATTTCTCCCTTTTTAATTGACCAATAACTATAATATATAACAATAACTATAATAAAGTTGATTGATAGGTTCAATGTGTGGGCCTAGTGTCAAGGAATCAGGACATGGGGCTTGATCATAAGCTTCCACGCTCCAAAGATTCCTTTGGAAAGAAACTTGGTTTGGCAGCTCAGCAGCCACTGTGGGAATTATAGGACAGAATTCTGCATTAAAGCTATATGTGAAAAGCTCTATGTATAAGCCTTGGTTTACTTACTCTTTATTTGTTTGTTTGTTTGTTTGTTCTCTGCCTGGTTGCTGGGTGGGCATGGCCATGATGGGTGTGGCCTAGTCGGCCTCCTGCACCACGGGGGTGGGGGGTGGGGTGGCATTTTTGCCCTCCCCGGGCTCCAGAGGCTTTCTTTGAACTTCCGGGAGGGCAAAAACGGCCTCCTCAGGCTCCGGAGGTAGGCCTGTTTTTCGCCTTCCCTGAGCCTCCACATGTGCCCTGCACTTACCTGCATCCAAAATGGGCCACGTGGGGACCCCTGGGAGGGGCAGGGTGGGCGGGGCCAGCCAGGAGTGGGATTTGGGGGTTCTCAAATCCCACTGGGGGCAATGGTGGGATTCAATATTTTTAACAACCGGTTCTGTGGGCGTGGCTTAGTTGGGGGTGTGTGGCTTGGTGGTCATGTGACTGGGTGGGTGTGGCTAGCTGGTCATGTGACCGGGTGGGCATGGCTATGTGCATAGGGACTATTCAGAGGGCTGAAAAAAGTCATTTCTGACTGGTCCTCACATTTTTGACCGGTCCTCGCACTTATGACCTTCCTCACATTTATGCCCGTTGCGGCATTCTTAACAACTGTGTCAGTCATTTCACCACTACTTCTCTTCACCATGGTGACAAGATAGGGTGTAAAACATAAAATGTGACGACAGTCGTAAGTTCAAGGACTGGTCAAAAGTGTGAGGACCGGTCCAAAATAACTTTTTCAGCCTTCTGAGTAATCCATATGCACAAAAGGATACAGCAATAGAGAGGGATGAAGGAAGGAGAAGAGAGATGGAAGAAAGGAGAGACAGGGAAGGAAGAGAAGGGAGGAAGGGAAGGGAAATTAGAGTAAAAGTGAGGGTAAGAGAGGGAGGAAGAGAGGAGGAGGAGAAGAGGGGGGGAAGAGAAAGTAAGAAGGAAAGAAAAGAGAGAGGTGGTAGGTTTGAGGAGAAAGATTGCTGTACAGTAAAAAAGATGAAATGGAAGAAAGGCAACCCCAAACAAATATAAAGATATTAAGATAAAGAATGAATTGTTAAACTTTAAAGAATAAAAGAGAATAAATATGAATAAATAGCAGTAATTAGAAACACACATACAAACATACAATGTATTTTCTTTGAACAGAGTATTTGGCCAGTTCACAAATTTAAACAGTGTTTAGTCATTTCAATTAAATTTACAATTTCTATATTTCCTTTTTGCCATATTTATTCCTTATCTATTTTTTTAAAAAAAACCAATATTACCCTTCATCCTCATCTCTAATCTTAATCAAATTCAATTTTTCCCTTCTATTCTATATTATACCCCTTCTCATTGTCATCTATTTTTATATCCATCCTCACATTGGTTAATTATGTAATATTACAGTTGTTTAATATAAATTCAATATTTTAATATAAATCAATTAGTTATATAACTATCTTTTTTGTATATTAATCAATATGAACATGAATATTCCAATTATTTCCATGCAATCCAATTTCTTACAAATCAATTAATTATATTTACCAATAATAATAAACCAAATAATTTCCCCCATATATTCCTCCAAACCACAATTTAACCATTTCTGCTTTCAACACAATATACAATTAATAGTATATCAATTATTACAATTCCCTATTTAAATAGAGCTTTTTTTCTTTTGTGTTTTAAAATCTTGAACTCTCCTCTTTTTCTCTAAAGAGGAACTACCTCTTTAGGGAAAACTACCTTTCCACTAAAGGTAGTTTGCACCTACCTTTTTTGGTGAGGAAAAAGAAAAGAAATCTGCCTGCCTAATTTTCCAACGTTGCAGCAACAGTAAAGCAGGCTTTTACTTTCAGTTTCGTTTTTCAGCATAGATAGGGGGAAAAAAATCTGCACTCTTTGCAAGCAAGCAGCAGAGCCCTGAGCAAAACAGCTGAGAGCAAATCAGCTGAGAGTCGGGAGGCCGATAGAATCAAGGGGCTAATTAGCCTATGCTGAAGCTCCGTGGGCCAATAAAATTACAAAAAAACACCGAACCGTTTATTAAATTGCTGGCTCGCCCGCCCCTCGCCCACCACTATTTATTGGCAATAAATAGTGGTGCAGAGGGGCGGGGCAAGGGGCGGGGCGAGCCAGCAATTTAATAAAGAGTTCAGCCGAACCCCCTAGAACCGGCAGAATCCCACCACTGACTGGGGGTATCATCTTCATTATCTGTGATGTGTCAGCTTTCAACTGGCAAGGAACCTGCAAGTAGAAAGCTAGGACCTACTCCTATAAGATACTACTTTATCACATGTTTCTGGTGAAATCTTTGAAATGGTTTGGGTAGAGTTTTTTTCCCCTTTTAAGTACATGTCCTTGCAAAGAAGTTATTTTACTCCTATGCCTTTTCTATTCCTTTTATTCTAGACAAGATATGTGATGCATATTTAAGAGCATCCCTAATTCAGATTCCAGCTCAGTTCAGACAAGCTAATATATCTCAGTTCCAGACATCTTGCTCAGTTTTTAATGCCAAATTGACGTAAAATAAACCCACTCAGATCAACTGTGCCAACTGCCATCCACAGGTCAGGATAAGCCCCTAAAGTCCTTTCGTGCCCTTTAAACGCAAACAAAGTGTGGCTTAAAAATATTCCCAATTATCTTTATGAGATAGTAAGTCCAAAGTCTGAATTTTTACTAAGACTTCATGTGCCCGGTCCATTACCTCATATGATCTGTGTAGTCCTTACAACCTTAATAAAGATTGGATGGTCTGTTTTAATTTCCAGGTTAGTGAGGTAAAATTTTAGCAGTTCTCAAGATTAGAGAAATTTGTAACCAGTAGTCCTAATTCTGCCCATATGTTCTTGCGAGTCAGCCCTATGGATTCAAGAAAGGCTTCCTTCTGAATAAAAATATTAAGGATTACCTTATTAAACAACATAGGCGAAATGCTTAAAGGAACCGCTATATGCATGCTGAGCTAAATCATCTACCTTTATTGCAAAGCACTGTGAACAACCCTAAGGTATTTTTACAGGTTGGGCTAGACTCCGAAGTCAAGAAAGAGCAGAATAATACAATCTGCTTCCCACTGTGTCCCCAGTCCAGCTATTATAGTAGTTGTAAAGCAGACATTTTTGTTCTTCTGAGGCAAATTTGTTCTTTTTCATTTGCATGAAAATGTATGTCAAGTTTCTGTTTTGCACAGATAAACATTCCATGTCATCCAACCTTGTCAACCAATCAGTGCAGTGCCAAACAGCAATTTGTCTGAGAAAGAGTAATTAGAAATATGAGCCAATCTGCTGAAGGATCAAAATGCTATGAACAAAACATTCACTGGCCTTCTGGTTTGTAACTCTCCTAGCAGAGCAATTGTATAAATTACTGTACCACAAGCAAGATATAAATCAGTCCTCTTTATGAAACTTGCCTGCGTACTGATTTAAAGGGAAATGGAAAATCATTCTTAGGTTAAATATACAAAGGGAATCTGATCAAGCACTCAATTTAAATTTCAGGCTCAGGTTAGTGCAGAAAAAAAAATCAGACCAAAATTCCATGTTTTGTGGGCACTATCATTGTGATTATTTGTTTACCTTGTGGTGTTGCATGAATTCATTTATGAAATACGGCAAACTAACAAACTATTTATTAATATGACAAGTGGGACGTCTGTAGCAAGATGACCTGTATATTGCAAATGGTTAATGAGAATTGTGTGGCATGTGAGATGGGGACACAAAGTAGTGTTTTATCTCCCATAGGAAAGAATTAAAAAAAAACAACCCACTTCTTGGCAGGGGAGTGGGAAGCAAAGAAGAGGGTGGAGACAGGAAAGGAGCAATTATCTAAATGTGTTCTTTCAGTTTGATCCTTGCAGTCTTTGGAACTTAAAACCTTCTGATCCTGTGTTCCATATTCACACCATCATGGAATATAATGCCAGGGCAATATCCACCATCTAATTTTTCAGACTTTTCTTCTGCCAAAGAGGCTTCTGTTCTCCTCAAAAGATTGTCATAAGATACGTGTCAAGTACTCCATTTGAT